TCTAGTGACTGCTCCTGTAAGAAAGTTACAATGTCAAGCTCAGTATCTAAACCAAAATATTTAGCCAGTTACAAAAGATATGCAAGGATTCAGCCAGTCAGAAAAATTAAAATGCAAGTTTACCAAAAGGCTGGAACAGTTCAAAGCTACACCTACCGCTTAAAAAAGTGCATCAATCTGAACTCCACCTTGAGTATAATATTTTGAGAAACGGTTTTTCTCCAATGTTGAATGCTGAATTAAAAATCAACATCATAACACTTCGGACACTCCCATAAGTGCTCAGTTCCCATCTTCAGCGGCAAGCAAAGAGTTCTAATTCCAATGGCACCAGTAGCCGTCTCATCCTTTTCCTGAGTGTTGAGTGTCAAAGAGGAAGAAGCACACACAGAGAGAGAGAGAGAGAGAGAGAGAGAGAGAGAGAGAGAGAGAGAGATATGAATGAAAGGAAGAGCACCTGAAGGGCATGGAAGCATGAAGAAGAAGATGAATTTCATCAATTTTACCAACATTCCTCATGTGTTCTAAAATGTGTACCAGGTAATGTCTGGGGAAGCAAAGGCAGGTGGCATGATATGATCATGACTACATTATCTTGATTGGTCTATACAAATACAGGTCTAATACGCCGTGCTAACAGTGTGAAAATGACCCCTTATTTTACTTAACAAAAGTATTTGTTAAACATTGTGTATACAGCACAAACATAACAAATTAAATATCAATGACATTTTGCGTCATTTTGTGCTATTTTGTCCAAACAGCACAAACTGAACACTAATGACAAGTGCCATTTCATTTTCAATGCTGCATTTAAAAGATCGTTTTAGTTTTCACACTGAATATACAACAAAAATGAGTATAATCTGGTAATTCAAAACACAAAACAGATTTTTACAATTTGTACAATTATTTACAACATTTATGTATCATTTGTTTTTCATCTTCTTAAATCTGCTGTTAAAACAGGCAAGTTCTTCTGTGTTAGCTCTTACACAGGCACACAGTGTTATGGTTTACAGCTAGGCTGAGATATCTTTACTTTTTGACCCAACACATCCAATTTAAGAAAATCCTTGATTATTCATCTTTTACTACATGCTTAAAAGCATGTAAGCAGCAATGGATCTATTCTTCCCCCAACCGCCGCCTTCTTTTCTCTACTCCTGGAATAATCATGGCAGAGAGAGAGATCTCTGGAATGACCCTTCTGTTTGCTTCCTATTAAGTACTTTTGCAGTGTCTTGGATATTTCTGCTGCCTGTCTTCTGCGTGGTCGACCTCTGGTTCTGTTACCGCTGTATCTGTATAACATTGCTCTCAGTGGTGGCCTGTCTAATGCCAATATTACCGTACTGAGGAGCACGCCAAAAGACATGACTCCCTATCCCTGTCTAGACTGATGGACATGGGGGTGCAGCCTGGAGCTGCAAGAAATGAACATTCCACTAAAAGGACAAGACGTTTCATTAACCCACACAGAACAGGCGTGATCAGTCGTTTTACACTTGTGGAGCTTTTGAGGGGATCGGAGCACCTATGGATCTGTCCGGAATGCTGTGATGATAATCCTTTCTAATCACTAATCACTATGCCAATCTTGTTACATGGCCAAACTAAAAGATTTGTTGTCTGACTATAAAGTTCAGTACTGGTAAAGGGCTAATCTTCTGTATTATTGTGAAGAGACAAGTGACACATTACAAGCGCATCTTCAAACAAGAAATGCCTGATAATATGCAGTTAACTGGTTAAGTCAGTCAACAGTTTCTCTTATCTGCACAATGAACCATTTAGTCAATAAGTGTTCAGACTCTCTCCTCATTATATCGCCCAGCAGGGACTGAGCCTCGAGAGGCAGGGGGTAAGAAGTGTTGGTGTTGTGGGTAGTGGCTTTAAAATTTTTTTTATCTTACTTTACCCTAGGTCTAGTGAATATCTGTTCATGAAAGGAGCATCCATTGCGGTGTCAGCCTCTTGACCTAGCATAACCTCTCTTCACGCAAGACTATTGTGCGCGGCGAAGAGTCACAGCCTCCCCGAGGTAGTCCTGGTAACTGGGGGTACAAATCCCCAGGCAAAACACAATGTATCTAGAGGAGCAAACCTTGATAATAAACCCTGTGCACCACACCGTACTGCCCCCTGTGGGAGGGAAGGAGCCGGAGGTGTGTTGAACAGTCTTAGAAATGGAAACAAGTATGCTAACCCCCCTGAATACCGGAAACTATCGTGAAGGCACAGGGACTCAGGACGTGATGATCCAGTTGCCCCAACTACTCATGCTTAGAGCCATGAAGAGCTCAGCGAAACCAGCAGGCAATCTGGTGGCGGGGAATGAGCACACTGTGAACCACACATTAGCTACGTGTTAAAGAGGAAGGCAGAAACACAACCCATATTTCTTTTAGAACTGGTTCAGGGGAGGTAGTTAATCCACAGACACCCCAGCAGCATTACAATATCCCCCAGCATGCAGCAGTTGATGTCACACACTCACTCTGTGATGGTTCATTTTCCTTCTCTGGCTTCCTGCAACGTGCTCTTGTCTGGCCTCACCACTTCTGAGCTGACATCTACACAGTGTGCATGCTGGCTGGTGATCTTTCATTTTAGCACCTGTCTGTGAAGGCAAAACGTCTTATCCACTACCCACTGTTCAGGGTGGAGTACACCACCTTTGTTTTTCTTATGTGAAAATTCACCCACTCCATTACTTATACCAGACCCCCCCCCCCCCTCCCCATTTAGAGTAAGATAAACTCCCTCTTAGCCAGTGACTAAATCACACTATTAAAAGGGTAAACAAAGGTTTGGTTTGGTTTAAACAACGAATCAACATCCTGGCACAAGGGGTAACCCATAAGTGCTCCGTTCTACTTCTGACTCAAGCCTAAATCTGACAAATCTCAGCACACACTCTGTAGCACCGGCAAGGATCCTGAAATACAACTGCACAGTCTCCCTCTACAACCAATGATTACATCGTTTATGTTACATCACAAAGACTGATAACAGCTGAGCTAGCACAGTGGTACTGCCAGGCTACAAGTTTTTGGGTTCAAATCTTCATCATCCCAATATGACTTCTGGGACCTCATTGTGGGATGAAAAAGACAGACCCACTGTGGCCCCCCCCCCCCCCCCCCCCCCCCGCCCCCCTTTTTCTCTATCAAACTGGATTAAAAAATTTTTACAGATCTGGAATTGGCAACAACAAAAATGACTGAAAAGTAAAATTGGCCAGCACGACCACAACACCAATCAAGTGCTTAATGGGCTTTTCAAACTAAGGATCTAGCATCATATTATCTATGAACCAAAGATGTTAAAATGGTCTATGATTTACTTTAAAACTATGGATCTAGCATCCTTTTTCCAACCGACCAAAGGTGTTAAAATGGTTCTTGACTTACTTTAAAACTATAGATCTAGCATCATATTTCCAATGAACCAAAGATGTTAAAATGGTTCTTGACTTACTTTAAAACTATGGATCTAGCATCCTATTTCCTATGAACCAAAGGTGTTAAAATGGTCCTAGACTTACTTTAAAACTATGGATCTAGCATCCTATTTCCTAAAAACCAAAGGTGTTAAAATGGTCCTTGACTTACTTTATGGATCTAGCATCTTATTTCCTACATACCAAAGGTGTTAAAATGGTCCTTGACTTACTTTAAAACTATGGATCTAGCATCATATTTTCTATGAACCAAAGGTGTTAAAATGGTTCTTGACTTACTTTAAAACTATGGATCTAGCATCATATTTTATATGAACCAAAAGTGTTAAAATGGTCCGAGACTTACTTTTAAACTATGGATCTAGCATCTTATTTCCTACAAACCAAAGGTGTTAAAATGGTCCTAGACTTACTTTAAAACTATGGATCTAGCATCTTATTTCCTACAAACCAAAGGTGTTAAAATGGTCCTTGACATGCTTTAAAACTATGGATCTAGCATCATATTTCCTACAAACCAAAATGGTAAAAACATACTGTCAGGCAGTAACCAGCAAGCCTGAATGACACAACAATTAATGCCTGTTACACTGTAACATGTTACAAAAGTAAGTACCATAAAAGACTTTAGATGAGCAGTGTTATTATATACAGAAACTGACACTACACATATCACCAATACATTTATAAAAAAATGACTAAGTACACGCATGATTTCAGTTCAACATTAAAACAATAAAAAATATAACAGGATGAATAACAATTTTTCTTCTAAAATTACAAACAATAACATACCATTCATCTTCAATATCAGAAGAAACAACTTCATATTAACAAAACAAAAAAACCAGAAAAGATTTCTTCACAATCATGAAAGCGAACCAAAGTAGGAGAAAATGCACAAATCCTATTTTCTCTCTACTTCTCCATCCTTTACAACACACTCAAGTTTTTTAACCATTTTGGCACTAAACAACTCGCTGTAACCGGAATGATTAGTCCAAACACAGTATATTTGTTACATCTTGTCCCAGCAGAGTGTAACATGCACCCACATCTGTTACTGTAACTTCTTCTATACCAATGAATTATTTTAATGACTTATGCAAATGTTAATTACTTTATGCATCAACTATTCTGGATAAAAGAAATTATTGTAACATAATCTCTTGTGTACAGAAAGTTAAAAAGATACAAATTCAGTCATCAACAATACCTTCCATTTTGCGACAGCTGTCTCAAATTTCACCTCTAACTGACATGCACAGGTGTATTGGAGACATTTACAAATAAAAGTATAAAGAGATGATGATGATGTATTCCAATCATCATCAACACAAGATATGTTAACATTCTTCACTGCCTGTATGTTAACATTCTTCACTGACTGTATGTTAACATTCTTCACTGACTGTATGTTAACATTCTTCACTGACTGTGTTGAGGTAGACCCTGTCAGGTTGCAACCTCTTCACAAACATTGTGATCAGTATTATTTCTGAACCTGGCTGCTGACATGTTTCACCGGCAACAATCATGTCTTGATCACAGTCTGCAGATCCTCTGGTAAAGTGGAGACAATGTCCTCCAACTGTTTCTGCAGACGTGACACACTCTCCTTGCCAACAATGCCATGGTTGAGACTAGCAAAAGTCTGGGTAGAAAACAGCAACAGATTTAATTAAGCAAAACATTATGTGATGAAACTGAAGTATGAGTGAGAGACAGACAGACTGAGAGATATAAACAGAGACAGAGAGGAGGAGGGAGGGAAAGAGATGAGAGAGACAAGAGACACAGTGAGAGACAGAGTGGGGGAGAGAGACAACAGAGAAACAGACACAGAGAGACAGGAGAGAGAGGGAAGGAGAGAAAGAGATGAGAGACAGAGATAGAGAGACAGATATAGAGAACGAACGAACAAACTCTTTTTTTTTTTTCAAAGGGTCACATATTGGACATAGCAGGCCCATCTAACATTCGGCCCTTCCAAACACCTGTCTTTCACACAGCAGTTTTACTTTATCAATAAAGCATGTTATATTCATTTTTTGAAAGAAGGAGAGATAAAAAGAGAGACAGCGAGGGGGAGAGAGCAGTATGAGAGAGTACACAGAGACAGAGAGGGGGAGAGAGCAGCATGAGAGAGTACACAGAGACAGAGAGGGGGAGAGAGCAGCATGAGAGAGTACACAGAGACAGAGAGGGGAGAGAGCAGCATGAGAGAGTACACAGAGACAGAGAGGAGGAGAGAGCAGCATGAGAGAGTACACAGAGACAGAGAGAGAGAAAGACAAACAGAAGGAAAGAGAGTGAGGGGAGAGTTTTCAACCTAACTGCTGTCAGAAACAAAAATAACTTCAAAGCTAAACATTCTGCAATACCTAGTCCTCCATACTGGGCCGGAACAGAGATGACAGAGAAACAGAGATTTATTTAAGCATTTTGTGATGACAAAGAATTATGAAAAAGAGGAGGGGGAGGGAGGGAGAAATAGAAAAATGGAGAGAAAAAAAAGAGATGGAGGGAGGAAACAGACACAGGAAACAGAAAGGGGGAGGGAGGGGGGAACAAACCAATTGGTTTTAATTATGTTTAGCACCTTTGTCACAGACAATACTTAGAAACATCAATCATCTTGGAGGACAAAATTTAAATACTCTGAGGTCAGCCTGTGACAGGTTTGATAGCAGAATCTAAATAAAATCTGGAAACCATTCTAATATTGAGTGTGGTGGAGGAGAATGATAAAAGATGCAAACAGGGAAGTTAGCCATATGTAGGAAAACAAAAGGTAACAGAAAGAATGCTGTGTAAAGTCAGGACAGGCATGCTTCCTGCAGAGTGGCATGCTTCACTGCAGAGGACCCAATTGAGGAGTATTGTCTAGATTTGTTCTCTGGTGTGTTGGGAAATGAACAGTCGCACAGACTGGCTGGCTCTATACAACTTGGTAGAATACTGATGCATAAGGCAGACGTGGTTAGTGCCTTGAGGGAGAGTGTGTACAGTACGGAGGAGCAGATGGATCACCACAGTCTGGTGAGACTGATGCACCGGGGTGTGACGAGGAGTTCTGGCCTGTGCTCGAGGCAGAGGAAAGGCAAGATGGACATTTAATCAGAATGCTACTGGCACCATTAGTATCGGAACTCTACACTAGCTGCTCAAGATGGGGATGAAGCACTTATGGGAATGCCCTGAGTGCTGTGATGTCGGTTCTTGAATCAACTTAAGGTAACAGAAAAATAAACATAAAAGAAAATGAAACAAAGGTCTATGTCAAACAACATTTGTGTGTTGTAAATCTAATTGTTTGTTTGTTTGTTTTAGTATCCAGAAGCTATGAGTTGTTAACCCTTAGGCTCGGTATTATGGATATCGCAACCTTTCGGCCTTGATTCCATTGTAAATACCGTAAATCTGGGAGAAAATGTGGCTTTCCTGCCTATCCCCAGGACTGAACCGGGACCACAAGGAGTTCGTCACCCGGTCTCTGCGCAATGGTTTAGCCAACTACACTAGAGAGCCGGGCTTGTAAATCTGATTAAAGAAGGCATTCACGTCAATCCAAATTCAGAAATGGGCTATATTTGTTTACAATGTGGCCAGAGTTCTTTCTCTTTTTCGTCTGCGTTCAACCAAAGACGTAAATGTGCTGCGTCCATTTACCATATGGCTGCAATAAATGTGCCTTTCGGCCAGCACATCTGACTTCTGCAGGCATTCGTTGCCTAGGTTAGTCTTCCTGGTTAGTCTCGTAAGAAACTGCAGTCTCACTGTCATGGCATCATGTTTGTTTTCTAGTTCCCAGGTAGTTGCCGCCCACCCCCTCCATCAGGCCAGTCCAGAGCTGGTCAACCCTCAAGATAAAGCAGAAGCAGAACATAAGCATTCCGCACTACTCAAAGAAGCTTTCATAACTGCAGAGCCAATAGACAAGTACTCTGGTACTGGGCTCACCAATGGAATCCTTACATCCTACTCACTTCCGTTTATTGAGACTCTCTTTAACTCTCTGAGTCCCAAGGAACGCATCATATGTTCATAGGTTCCCACACCTAGAAGCCCAATGAACGCAAGATGCGCAGATTTTTCATCTCTCTTGACTACCTCTTGGGCCTCTGATGCTAAACCCCCTGGGACTCAAAGAGTTAATCACATGATGTGCCTTTAGAAGCCACAAGGAGTCAGCCTGCAAAAGTGGAATTTCAATAACCTACATAAAATGAGTACCCTGCTTCTTACTGGCCAGAGTTCAACCAAACTGATTCTGGTGCACAATGGACAAGTGGTCTGAAACAACAATGGACACGTGGTGATCCGCTCTCCTCAAAACGACAAGTCCATGGAGAACCCTTTTAATTTATTATGGTTTATTGGTTAATAATAATAAAATATGAATACAAGCACTGACTTACAAGCTTTTCTTTTATTTTCAAGATGAGATCAACAATCTCCACTTCCTCTTTATCAATAATCCACTCGGAGAGATTCTGAAACAAATCAAAGGCACACATACAAGTTAGTTGGTTAGTTAGTTGGTTAGTCAGTCAGTCAGTCAGTCAGTCAGTCAGTCAGTCAGTCAGTCAGTCAGTCAGTCAGTCAGTCAGTCAGTCAGTCAGTCAGTCAGTCAGTCAGTTAGTTAGTTAGTTGGGTTATCCTCATTGCACTCCGGACATGTCCATAGGTGCTCAGATCCTCCCCTCAGTATAAACCCCAACGTCCGATGGCTAATAGTACCAGTTCTATGTTGATTGACAAGTCTTCTGGCGTGTCTGGTGTGCGTCTCGTTTTTTGATGTGCCGATCTTAATTCCCAAGTCTGCCATTTTGGCAAGTACACCATACAACTGACAAGGTGGATGTATGGCAGATAAAGTTGCAAAGGGAATGGGGTGGGGGTCAAGTGTTAGTAAAATCTCCGGAGAGACTCAAAGAAAACCAGACCAGTCATTTTCATTTAAAAAAAAAATGAAAAATGGAAACATTCTCTGCAATGATTACCAGATCAGCTAATACAGGAAGCAATCACAATTTACTCTCTGGAAAACTCACACTAAAATTGAGAAAAGCTAAACTAGGAGAATGAAAGCAGCAGCAGTATGATGTAGCAAAACTGTAGGATGCTCAAATCAAACAGCAAGTTAGCACAGAACTCAAAAACAGATTCAGCATTTTTACAAGAAGAAACAGAAATGGTTATCGACTAATTTCCTTAACTCTACCAGACCGCTGGCCGCTATTACTGGAATTTTCTAATCTGCCGCTAAATCGCTGTCCCTCAATGTCAGGAATTTGCGTACTACATGAAAACACTGCGTCACAAACTAAAATTAACTAGCCAATCATAATCAAACCTCGTGGATAGTCATTTCAGACATATGCCCGCAAGTGTTTGGATAAAATTTGTGTTGTTTTACGTGAAAAAAATCACAATGAAACGAGCGGCTGATGAACCAAGCACTTCAACAGGAAAGTAAAGTAGGTCTAGGCTTTTCACAGTCCAACAGGTGATCGATGCTTTGGTTTATTAAGACTCTGCAGGGTCATAATTTTATAAAGAATATGTTCTTAGTTGAAGTGACACAGTCAGTGAGAGCTCGAATGATGATGAAAATTTTGAAAATTATAAATCTAGAAATAGATCGATATTAAGAGAATGGGGTGTGTCCCTCAAACAGCAACATCTAGTGCTCACTTTATGAAACAAGGCTCATCCTGATGGGTGGCTTGGCACACAAAGGTGGAATATTAGCGATATATAAAAGGGGAGCCTATTTTCTACAATGTCTCCAAGTTTCATCTTATTCTATTTCTAAACACTCGTTTGCATACAACTGATATCATGTTGGTTTTTTCGTGTTGATGCCCAGGAGCTCAGGTATAGAGGGCAGTTAGGTTCAGGGCCTCAGGTCTGGTAGGGTTAAACGGTTATGTTATCACATGATGTCACTGCAAACTGGACATCCCCAGGTGTGCTCAGTCCTCAGATGCAGCAGCCAGAGGGATTTTCAAATGCTTCCATTCAGAGCATATACAGCCTGTTGCTATTTTCTAAAGTATGTTCATGGAGTCTGTTACAATTATTGCCTCATGAAACAGTTAGATTAGCAGGGGAGAAAATATTAGGACATAGGCTGCCAAAGAAAGAGGACTGAATTTCCAAAACAATGTGGGAGAAAAACTGCACAACAGAACGAAATTTAAAGATAAATGTTAAATGCAAAATCACCCACATCCTACAGAATATGAACAAATAAATATTGAGGTTAAAGCAGGAGCAAAACAGATAAATTTACCACTATGGAAAAGCTAGTAACAGGAGCAGAGTAAGCAGTGAATAGCCAGGACAGCAACATATTCTCAACAAAATCAATAAAAGGGCAGGGAAATGTTCTATCCCTCCAAACTTTGCTTCTAAAATTAAAGAATGGAAAGATGATTAAAGAAGAGAAAGGAAAACTGCACCAAAGGAAAGAACATTTCCAGGAGTTGCTAAACTGTCCAGACCCACCTGTACTTGCTGATGTACCTGAGACCAAGAAGGATCTTCAGATAAGCATAAAGGCATTTTCAGAGACAGACGTTTCGGAGGCTATTTAAAGTTCACAAAAGAAGCTAGCTTCACTGGAAAGGTCACGAGTAGTGACCATACTTTGCTTCTTTTCTCCAGGCTATGCAGGTGTGGTGGGTAATGAACAGGCAGACAGACTGGCTGGATCCGTACCACTGGGTGGTGAATTGATACATGACAGGGCAGATGTGGTCAAGGCCCTTTAGGAACAAGCAATGGAATCTGTAGAGAAAGATTATTATTATGGCCTGGAGAGAATGAGGCACCTGGGTGTAACCACAGGGTCTGGCCAGCTCACTACACTCAGAGGAAAGGCAAGACCGACTCTTAACCAGATTGTGACCGGGACCATCAGTATTGGAACTCTGTGCTGGCTGCTGAAGATGAGGACGGAGCATGCATGGGCATGCCCCGAGTGCTGTGATGTCAATTCTTGACTCAACTCAACAGCTCACAATGTTAAGGAAGCACCTCCAAATGATGAAATTTGCCCTGAAATGCTTAAGTGGAGGAGACAGAAACACCAAAACTGCTGTACAAGATTTTTCAAGATATCTGAAACAACAAAGAAATTCCACGGAAGTGAAAAAAATTGTAAGAAACTGACAGCCTATGCCTCCAAAAAATGTCCTGCTACTAATATTAGACAGGGTTCACTTGGAGTCAGGCTCATTTTCAAAATCACATCAAAGAAGATTCAAACAGGTGATCATTTTTATTATAATTTGTATTTTGTGCAAGACCCTGAAATTGAGAACAGGATAGTTCTCGAAACATCATTTGATTTATTATAGTCACTGTGGTTACATTGGTAAAGCGGCTGGCCAAATGGTTATAAACCCTGGGTGCTCATGCACAGACCCAGGTTCAAATCCTCGGTGAGGTTGTGAATTTTTTTCTGCCTATGGCAAAAAAAAATTCTAACCTGCACAGTCCGTGGCAACAGCAAAATCCATGCGGTCTTAAATCCTTGTGCTCAAAGATCTCCCTGCCTACACCGCAACAATGGTAAATACAAGTCTCTACATATAAAATGTGGAAATCTAAAGGTCTTTAATATGTGGCAGTACACTAGGTATGGTCAGCTTTGTGGCTAAGTCGATGCGAACGCTTCGTAATGCCGGGGTGCTGGGTTCGGTCCCAGCTGCGGGCCATGCGCTGGTTTCGACAGTGGTATCAGGGGGCCGACCGTCCAGAAAGCAAAGGCAAACTACTGGACGTAAATTTGCCTAGAGAAACCACACAACAACAGCCAGGGGCTGCTGGGGTTGGTTCTGCAACGTCCTGTAAAAAGGATACGCAACTAACCTAACACTAGATATGAGAAAGAAAAGAGCAAGAAAGAACAAGAGAGGAAAGAAAGAAAGGAAGACGGAAAGATGAACACTTTGTTTAACACTAATAATACATACAGCACTGCTGAGGGCTTCCAAGTGTAGCAGCTGTAATTTTTGATTGACTTCTTTTTGCCGCTGATAATACCAACCTTCAAAGTTCGGAGACAGGAAGAAACGTCTGCAAAAAATAAAAATGTATCAGCACCAGTGTACTTCTATCTCTGTGTCTGCTTGGTGGTCAAGGTTTCAACCTGATGAAGTTTTATAAAAACTGACAAGACTAGAAATATTTTATACTTCTTCGCTTCCTCCAATTCTTAGCGTAGAGTTTAAGAAAGTTACAAGGATGCACTTCCTTTTTAACAAAATTTTGAGAGAGAAAAGTCTTTTATAAAATAGATTCTCATGGGGCAAAAAGGTAATGTTTAAGTGTATGATATAAATTGGTAATTATTTAACTCTTTCACTACCAAGCATATGTGACTTCAAACCCCTTTTATTTCATGAAGCTGAGCATAAAGACAATAAGCATTTAGGTCTAAGGAAGTTCACCAGAGGCACTAGGGACGAAAGCAGTTAAACTACAAAGGGAAGTCATTCAGAAAGTTAATTGCATGAATAAGTTTTTTTTTTAAAGTGACCAGAACAAAATTGTTCCACATCCTATTTCTTGACAGTCTCCCTGTTTTGCAACATACACTGATCCACCACAAGATTGAGGATGCCCACCTGGAAGAGCTTTTGCGTGTGGCCAATAACCAAGTACCAACATCAATACCTCACTGTCATTTACAAATCTCTGACTCCTCAGATGTTCTTTGGTTCATAACAGCGCACCTAAGAGTCATCACCTATCATAGTTCGATGGAGAAAAGCCTCTTGTTTGCGCCATGAGGCGGTTCAAATGCTCCTGATAAATCGTCTGCCTAGTGTGCTTCTGTAAATCAGACAGCTAGCTGCCTTGGAACCCACCTGCTACACACTTTCAAATATCCACAGTCATCATAAATAATTTTTGATGCAGCACCACAACTCATGTGGAATTTTACAGCAATTTCATCAATAATCACTTATCTATTGTTGCGGATTTGTTGCATTATCTGCTGCTTCACTGTCTCAATTGCTACGCCTCCCACTTATATATAAATAAAAGTGAAGCAAAAAAAAAAAATACATGTAAGAGCAGAACAGTTATTGAGAGAGAGAGAGAGAGAGAGAGAGAGAGAAAGAGAGAGAGAGACAGAGAGACAGAGGGAGACAGAGAGAGAGAGAGAGAGAGATGTACACAGAAATGTGCATATACAAGTGTGAAAATACAATCAATATCACTTAAATAAACACTTACACTGAAGAGCACAACAGTGGTGTCAAGAGACACACACAAAAGTGGTGTCAAGACACACACACAACGGTGGAGTCAAGAGACACACACAACATGCACAAACCAAAATCAGCATACACAACATGTCCACCACATTAAAGCCAGGAATCTTAAAACTGAAGATACTCCTACCCTACCTGTACAGAGATTCCCAATCGCCTTTGATTCCTGAAGTTAACTGGGGACCAGAATGTTCTAATGTTTCTATAAATTTATCTGTGTCAAATGGTCGAAGTTTTGGTGGGCCCTGCAAGTGTTTTAAAAAAAAATCAACATTAAAATACGCTGACAAATTTCTCAGAAAGGCAAGAAATAAAACTAACTCCAATGACTGACTGACTGACTTTCACCCCACCAGGACATCACAAAAGCGATAAACATCCGATGACACAAAGTGCCACCATGCGGATGAGGATCACCGTGGAGAGGTCCCAGAAACCGCGTTCAAACAATTGGCCATATTGATGGCCTGCCTATATTGCGGCCCCTGGCAAAAGCCAAAGTGGGGCTTCAAAAAACAAAAAATTACGTCCTAAGAAGAACGTAAGGAATCTCATATAGACCACTTTTTATAATAAACTGGAAGCAAGAGAGTGAAGTGGAGCAGAAGATTTAGCACTTGTTAGTTTATAATTCAAGCTCACCGCCAATGGAGCGGTGGTATCACTGAACAAGTTATTCTAACTGAAAGTTAAGAAGTTTCTTCTTCGCATACACCAGCTCTGAAGTCCAGTGGAAAGTCCTTGCTGTTCACTAACTTCTGGACTTTAGTCTTGTTCCAGGACTTGAGTGTTAGGTCCACATCCATTTTACAGATCTGGCTCATTTGTGTGCAGACTGTTGGTTGCTCACCTCTCAGTGAGGTGTACCCTAACTTGAAGGAAATGTCAATCCTATCTATACTGAACAGGTCACCAGTAGGGAACCTGCTTCTACGATGACAACAGAGAGGTGTAGGCAGGTCTTGACCACTAAGAACCCTGGCCTTGTGCAGCACCACGTGTGGTTCAGCACCTATACATGCCTATTTACTTGTCCATATCAACATCCTAGGCCATCACTCCGTCCCATTTGTGCTCCGTCCTCGGATGCAGCAGCCACCTCAGTGTCTCTGTACTCAACAAACCCAATAGGAGTTGACTGGCTGGCATAGCCTCTTTCTTTGCCCCGCAACTGGTTTCTGCCCTGCTTGTCCTTGTTTAATACCCATTTCAAACAGGTGGTTCATTATCTCTGATTCCTTTGTCTCAACATCTCTGGAATGCATTATGTCTGCCCCGTCCATATGTAACCACTAACCACTGCAGACATGGTCAGCCTGTCAGCTAGTTCAGTTCCTTTTACCCCAGCGTTTCCAGGTGTGTACAGCCAAGACTTTTTCTGTCAACCCACTCAAGTCATAGTTTGGATCTTCTTAGGCATGGTCACTGAGTCTGTCACTATCAATGCATGAGTTGCTTTCTATTCTGTCAGCCATTTAAGTGCTCCTGTGACAGCTGCTATCTCCATCGTCATGCCAGTATTAGTTCATGACTTTTGTCTTCTGTTGCTTCTGTCTTCCCATTCACCTGTGCTGGGTATGCCCACCCAAACAACACCCCACGAATCACTGAGCCATCTGTAACAATGATGGCATCACCTGGTTGAGAGTGCTTATGGTTGAGGGCCCTTATTTCATCATTAACGGCTGTCTGGCTCCGTTTTCAGCAATACCTGCCCAGGGACATTACTATCTCAATTAGGTTCTGAAACTGTCTGGTGTTTCTATCCATTCAGCTCTGAGCCTGGCATGTTCCAATAGGCAAGTTTGGCTAATTGCATCCTCTGCTTCCACCATCCAGGACCACGCCCTCTCTAGGCGCTTACCTTTGTTTACCCATAGGCAGCTAAGCTTCATTTCAGCAGCAACAACCTTGTAAGCCCTCTCCTAGGCCATCTAGTGTCTTCTGAATACGTCTACATACCTAAATAATCTTACATTATATTCAAGCGGACAGGCATTTCTTCGTTTTCTTAGCGTTCTGATCCACTGATTTTACTGTAAACTTTGGTGGAAAGTTCTGGTTGTTCATCCACTTCTGGACTTGTTCCAGGACTTCAGTGATGCACATCTGGGTTTTTTACAGGTATTTTACATTGTGAATGGCCCGGCGGCGGATGAGCTTTGCTATAAGATCTGCTTATAATGTGTTACCTCTGGCGCCAAAATGGCCAAGTGGTATGCGACCACCGACCCAACATGTCTACTATGGAGAGCTAAGCAGATGCTTGAGCACGTATTGTCCGGGAGCAGAAAAGCCCTAGGTCAGGGACGATTTCAATGGTGCCACAATAAAGTCCTGAAAGTGCTAGCGGACACTGTGGAAAAAGCCAGGATGAGGACCAACGGGAGGGACAATCCTACCATCCCCCTCATGCACTTCCTCAAGTCTGGCCACATTTCTAAAAGTAAAGTCAACAAGGGTACATAAGCTCCATCAATACTTGACTGTGTGAGGGATTGGTTACTGGCTGTTGACCTGCCTGGTTTCAAAAAGTACCCAGAGTCAATCTGAAAGACCGGCCTGAAACCAGACATGGTTCTGCACTCTGCAGAAAAACGTCAGCTCATCCTAATAGAGCTGACCGTGCCGTATGAGTCGCGGATAGAAGAAAATCACACATACAAGCTCGAAAAGTACTGTGATCTGGCTGCCGGCTTAGGAAATATGAAGCGTACACAGTAAAAATCTTCGCCACTAAGGTAGGCGCGAGAGGACTCGTCTCCACTTCCACATACAATGTACTAAAACACCTGAACTTGCGAGGAAATGACGGAAACGGGGACTAAAACAGTTGGGGGAAGCTGCTGAAAGAGTTTCCAGCTGGCTTTGGATGCAACATAATGTTGTGGGGGATGGGCCTTGGTAGACTGGTCCGAGCCCCTACTGGAAAAGAACTTTTCATCCCTATAAAGCCAAAGTGTCCACTAAATGTCTGCCAGTGTCTCTCTGCCAAATGTCAAAGTCTAACACCTGTCCAATGAACCAACCGTAAGCTAGTCACTCTGGTTGTGAAGGTAGGTGGCTGATTTGCTACTGCAGCGGCAAATATAACACCAGATCTCACAATACCTGTTACACAGTCACCATTTTGTTTTGCCCCTATCCAAGAGTCAGATAAAGTACAGCAGGGGAAGATCGTGGCCTGGGGTCATGACCCAGGTAGGCCCACCTTCCGAGACTGTCTAGGAAGTAAATGGCCGAAACAATCGTCGATGAGGGATCTTTCTATTGATGATTTGTGGACTTCTGCTTTGCATGCTCCCCTGTGAAGTTCTTATTATTATCATTGTTTAACTGGATGCTGTGCTTGCTTAGACACATTACTCTACTTTATGTTTCATAATTGTTTATATTAGTCCCGGCAGATCATATACATTTACTACAGACAACAGGCAATTTTAGACTGATATCGTCCAATAAAATGAAGCACCAGTGTATAGATAATTCATATAATCCCTGTTGGAGCTGAAGAAGCATACAATGATATGTAAATAATTCCTATAGTATTACTAAAGTTTCCAGTCCAATGTGACCCCCAGGCTGGCTGGCCATTAAACTCTTAAAGAGTTATTTGCTCCTGGCAAGAGTCTGTTCAAGCATTTTTCCACTTCTGGACTGGTAATCAAAAGGTTCTGTCACCCAGCTACTGAGCTAAGTGATCGGTGTGACACTGTAAGCTGTGGATTAAATGCCAGATGTTTTCTTGTTTCTTCTGTGTCTGCCGCAGTTTTGTGTTGCGAAGTGCACTAAAAAGCCAGTTTCCCATTACATCCCAAGACTGTAAATGCCATCCTGTTGTGACTGACTGCATCCGTCAACAAGGAGCTGCAATTCTGGTGCAGAACTGTTAGTACTGGCACATCTGGCGCCTGCTTTATGTATATAATTTGCACTGGTAAGCTTCTGGATTCTGCTGTTATATATTCGTTTTCCACTTAGTTCTCAATTACTGGCACAGTAATGGGCATTTTGAGTTCTTTCCACGGAAACAGGAACGGAGCAACTAGAGGGTGACCCACTTGGTGTTAAGTTGGAACCTTAACTAACAATGACTTACTTCTTCTTCTTCACTTCCTCTTTTACCGCTGTAGGTGTCGAGGGAGATATAAGGTTCTGTTTCTAGCTCTTCTGGCTGCCTCGACCATAGGCACATCGTACTGTTGTAGAGTTTCTATGATGTTATCCTTCTTGTTCTTGGTCTACCCCGTGCTCTACGTCCTTTTTCTCTTCCCATGTATGGTATGGTGTCACAAGGCATTCTCTCTAAGTGGGCAAACCATTTCACTTGCTGTCTTTGTATGTAATCCAGAATTGGTTCTGTGCTGACTTGTTCTCTTATGATCTCATTTCTGATCTTATCTCTTATGGTCACTCCTACAGCCCTTCTCAGACATCTCATTTCCGAGGTTACTAATTTTCTTTTATGGTTTGTTGTGAGTGACCATGTCTGGCACTGGTAGCACAGAGTTGGAATAAATATGCTTTGAATAAGATGTCTCTTTGTGCTGATTGGGATTGTCTTAAGCTGTAAGAGGGGGGCTAGCTGTCCCAATACTTGGTTTGCTTTACTGCATCTAATGTCAATTTCTTTATCCAATTTCCCATCTTCGGTAAATGTAGTTCCCAGATATTTAAACTCAGATGCCTGTTTAATGCCTTTGTTCTATATTGCTATGTTTAGATCTGTCTTCCTTTTTCCTATTGACATTACTTCTGTCTTTTCAGTGTTAATTCTCATATTATTTGTTTTACATTCTTCATTCATGGATGTTAGATGTTGTTGCAATTTCATGGCTGTATCTGCTATCAAGGCCTGGTCATCTGCAAAGAGTAATTCGTTGATCTTACTAAGATCTTCATTCATGGGCTTGGCATTCTTGCATATACTGTCGATGTAGGTGATAAACAGCAGTGGTGATAAGACACACCCCTGTCCTACTCCAGATGTCACTGTGAAAGGATGAGATGTTCCCTGATTTATTCTAACTACTAATGACTTACTAAATGTCTTTAAATTAACATATTCTGACACTGAAATATAACAGTAACAGCAAGTGTAAATTAATACATTTTATAAACAATAATATAGCTAACAAGAAGTAACATTACTTTACCTTGTATGGTGAGATGTTTCGTTGTAAAGGCATCAGGCTTGCCACATATCTTTCCTAAAAAAAAAAAAAATGATCAACATCTCATATTACAGTGTATGACATTCAGAAAACAAAACCGCTTTTGCTATATTAAATGTTGAGTGATTCAGAAAGAGCAGAGATGGAAAACAGGCTTCCTTAAAGAGCCTGGAAAATAAACTGCTTTGGCCATACTAAATGTTAAGTGATTCAGAAAGAGCAGTGATAGAAAACAGGCTTCCTTAAAGAGTTAAGAAAATAAACTGCTTTGGCTAGAAAAAAAAACTGCTTTGGCTAGAACATAAACTGCTTTGGCTATAAAATAAACTGCATTGGCTAGAAATAAACTGCTTTGGCGAGAAAATAAACTGCATTGGCTAGAAATAAACTGCTTTGGCTAGAAAATAAACTGCTTTGGCTAGAAAATCAACTTTTTGGCTAGAAAATCAACTGCTTTGGCTAGAAAATCAACTGCTATGGCTAGAAAATCAACTGCTTTGGCTAGAAAATCAACTGCTTTGGCTAGAAAATCAACTGCTTTGGCTATAATAAATGTTACTGTGGGTCAGAAAGAAAAGTAATGAAAGACAGGGGTCCTGAAAGACAGGGGTCCTGAAAGACAGGGGTCCCAAAAGACAGGGGTCCTGAAAGACAGGGGTCCCGAAAGACAGGGGTCCTGAAAGACAGGGGTCCTGAAAGATGCGACAGAACAGTGGTACTCAACCTTCCTGATGCTCGACAATCTAATACAGTTCCTCACGATGTGGCGACCCACAACCATAAATTACTTTCAATGCTACTTCATAATTTCAGTGAATATGGGTTATTCTATGGTCTTAGGCGACCTTTGTGAAAGGGTTGTTTGACCCCCAAAAGGGGTCACGACCCACAAATTGAGAACCGGTGCTGTGGGGACTAATAGTGTTTAAGTGGTCAGTAGATTAAACATTTTTTTTTTTTTACATAATAGTTAACATTCTAAGGAAGATTCCTCAACCAGTCAACACTTTCATGTGTTCACGAAAATTGTTATTTACTAGTAAACAAAAATAAGTCCTCTAGGGGTGCAGGAGGTTAAACAAACAAAGAGAAACAGCACCTGAACAAAGTTGTGCCACATCGCCTTAAAATAATCTAATCAACATGGTTCCTATTTTCACACACCTAATCCCTTTATGGTTCCACATGCCAATAGATAGACCAGGGCTATCCCACTAAGTTTACCCAGGGGCCAGAGAACCGAGCCCAAGCATAGCCAGATCATTATTATAATACAATTGACAATGATCCACGGGCCAATTGCCAGGCCTCCTTGGGCCAGATGAGGCCCCCGGGCCGCCAGCTGAACAGCTCTGGGATAGACAATGGTCTTGGCTGGATGGCTAGCTCAGCAATATAATGCACGGGGTAACACAGCCAATAAACATTTCAGCTACTGAGCTTGGCACAAATAAAACCAGACTATAATTATAACTGAAGCTGTCTTCAGTAAGGTTAAACGTGGTTGGCTTTTTTTTTTTTAAAAGAACAAAGGAGCGAAAGAACCAGTCAACCACAGAAGGCAATCCAGCCTCATGAAGGCCATAACACATGTCAAGCAACTGCTGCACTGTAAAAGTTCCTGACAGAAAGAAAAATAAGGGCTCAGCAGTAATAAGGCTAAGACAATAATATCTGACACTCGCCTTGAGCCTAGGGTTCAAATCCCCACCAAGTCGGATTTTTTCTCTTCTAACATGACCTTGGTTTACGGGTGGACCCAGCCTGGAATGGAAACTAGGTAAACCTCCAGGTAAGAAAAGGTAGCCAGTGCGGTGTAATCGGTCCATACTGCCCATACGAGAACCTACGGGTCTCTACATATAAGAAAGAGGATGCAACAGAATGGAAGCATTGCAACAATTAAAGAGCTGTAACTGAGAAAGATAATTACAAACACTGAGAAATACATTTGGAAAACACATCATAAAAATGTAACTAATGGAAAAACTTGTTAACTCTAATAGATATTTTATCGACCAGTATCATGCCAACAAGATCCCTCACCAAGTGCCGTTAGTCTAAAAATACAGGTCTAGCTCTATATACCCAATACGCCCAAAAGGCGTGGAAAAGGGTCCTTTCTGAGGAGAATGGCGCTGCGAGGAGTTACAAGGGAATCTGGCCAAGGCTTGACACTAAAGGGAAAGGCGATTTACCTTTACCTTTATACAATCAGACAGTTACTGGTACCATGGGAATTTTAACTCTTCGCTTGCTGCTGGAGACGGAGTGCTTATGTGGGTGTCCCGAGTGCTGTGGTGTTGAATTTAATTCAACATTCAACAATGGTCAGTATGAATTATGGTCAACTTTAGCATGTATTATACAATTTTTGCATGTAAAAATCAGCAATTGCAAGTTCAAAAATGTTCAGGAAAGAGTGATTCAGCATTTTCAAATGTTCCAGACTGAAACGACATCAATGTGCTAGAAATGCCTTATCAACTGTTCAAAATTCTACTTACTAGAGGAATCATGAAGCTCTGGGTGAGTTCTAGAAGATGTCTCCTCAATATGGCATTCTGGGCCTCCACAGGCCTCTTGAGAGCTGCACCCTTTGATGAGACACAGACAAGGTGAGTACGAACATACCAAAACTTTAACACATCTATACAGCTATGGCTGCTAAGGATATTTATTTTATTGAAAACTAATTTTACATATCTCACATGTGTATTTCATTTTCTGAGGTCTCCCCCCCCCCCCCCCCCCCCCCCCCCCCCCCCCCCCCCCCCCCCCCCCCCCCCCCCACCCCCACCCCCCCCCCCCCCCCAAGTTCTTATAATTTGTCTTTGGATAATAGTTGAAAGCTTAGGTTAAAACACCACTGTAGAGAGGGCCCCCCCCCCCCCCCAATAACTCTTCTGTTCTGGTGCCAGTGGAAATTACATAAAATGTCCTTTGCTGTCCCAGTTGCTGTCCTCTACACTCTCAGTCCTGAAATGGAGAATTTTGTATCAGCAAAAACCTAACTGTAAACAAATAACTTAGAGAGCATCAGCAGTCAGCGAGCTATCGACCATTCTGGCCGGATGCCACATGGGATTCCAGGCGTAGAGACAAGAAGAAGCAGAAATTGTAAAGTGTATTTTCTCTATTCTTTTTTTTGATATTTTTCTACTGCTATTTGGGATGCAGATGTCTTTACCTGCATAGGCCTGCATGTTACATCTGGCTGGTGTAGCCATCTGGCTGATTAGTTAGTTAATCGAAAGATTACCCTTACTGCACACTGAACAAGTCCATAAGCGCTAGGATCCCATCTTCAGCATATCCTTTAGCGTGTGGCGACTGATAATACCAGTTCTGTGTTGGTTTACTATTCTTCTTTGGCTACCTGTATAGTGTTTATGTTTGGTGACACCTCTTGTAGCCTGAAGTGCTTGTAGTTTTTTCAGACTTGCTGATTCAATGTCGTCTCTTAAATCATCTTTTCATCAAGTCTTCTTGAGAGCACTGAGAATATTGGCCTGATCCATTGCTTTTCCTGTAGATACCGTGGCCCTGCCAGCAAGCCAATCCGTTTGTTCATTCCCTCTTACTCCAGAGTGTCCTGGCACACAAAATGAAACTAAATCCTTTCAGACAAGATTTCATTAAAGACTCCAACCATTTTTTTCAAATCCATCCTGTCTCTATCTTATTGAGCATGCTCAGGGAATCACTTAGAAAGCATGCATGGGAAAAATGCTATGTCTCTAGCCACATCATGGCTTCTGTTACGCCATCACCTCCACAGTCAGACTACATGTAGTAGGAGCAAAAGCTATGCTATCATCCTTTACAGTTTTCTCTTAAAATCTGGCTGGTGAGGCCATTATGGGTGCCTTAATTATAACTTCTCTGAAGGCTGAACAGGGTATCTGGGATCTGCCCTGTTGGTCTGCCGTTCAGACTGAGTTTCTCTTTTTCCCAGATGGTATGGTAAATCTCTAGGCAGCAACCAGGAGGGGACAAACTAATTGATCAATATACAGATACACTACAAGAAAACTTACTTTCATAAGTCTTTTAAGTATCATCTTGTCTTTGGTTAGATAAGACTTGTAGCGAGTATATACACCTAGAATGACAAACAAGATGGAATTTTAGCACATGTATTTGTGTAGAATAGTAGAATAAAGATATTGTGGTACCTTAGTTTAAGCACTTAATCGAATCCTTGGATATATACCAAACAAATAGTCCGAATAAGAAATAAAGTGAGAATGATTAATCTGCTCCCAAGAAAAACCCAAATCTTACTGATATACTATACACTCAAGGGGGTGTATGAAAAAATTCACGTACTGCCTGATACTAAAATACATAAATACAAAAGCAATTAGATTAAATGAAATAAAAGTTAACCTTATCTTACCTTCCTGAGTAGAGTAGAGTGTGAACTAGGACATACTGAGAAGGGAGGAGGAGATGTTGTTGTTTGGATGGAAAATCCCTTTCCAATTAAACTTCAGGAATCTGAAATTCTGGTGTTTGCATCTCTTTCTTTTTTTCTTTCCTGTTTCTTTCCACTAGTTGAACTCGAGACTCATATTGTTTGACTTTTATTTAAAATCCTCCCCGTGTGGTTTCCTGGGCCCTATTATAGGGAAAACAAGAATAGACCTACTGCCTACCTAAAAGCTTGTCGTAAGAGTCGACTAATTGGTAGCTTCCTTCGAAGTCGGAGTGCATCTGTCTGAGAGGCAAGGAACCAGCAGACTGCATACAAATGAGTCAGATCTGTAAAACAGATGCACTCACAACACTCAGGTTCTGGAACAGGTCTGCAGTTCAGAAGTGGACAAACAACCAGAACTTGTTTAGTAAAAATGTGACATTGCCTGGTCATTCCAGACAATGCTATTATGACTTGTTTGGACTTTGTTGGGGTGGTACTTCTTTGCCAAGTCACTGACATCTATCCCTGGCTTTGTAAATAAAGATAGCTCACAGTGTAGTGATTAATTTGGACTCATACAAGTTCTAGCGTATGGGTCATATTTCAAACACAGGTCATATACCAAATAAAGTTTTCACGTCTAAACAAGATGTATACCAAGTTAAACATATACCAAAGTGTATATGCTGAGGTACCACTATACTGTAAACCAATACTATTACTACTACTGTGGCTATTACCACTACTACCATTACTACTACAGCTACTACTTCTTCGCCATGTGCTTGATATGAAATATGAGAGGAGCATCAAATCAGAACCTTAAATGTGTGACAGAAATTATAATAACCATGCCATTGTCAGATAACCTGTTAATACTGTTGTTAAGGATGTCAAGAGTGTTAAGCATGTGCCATCACAATGCAAACAAACACAGTGGCACCTTAATGACAGTTTAAAGATGGCCATCCCACTTCTGACATGTACCAAAGAGAAGCAGCATTCTGTTAACCATTTTTTGATCAGTAAAGGGGTGAAACCTATAGAAATTCATTGGCACATGAAGGTCCAGTATGATGATGCATGCCTATCAGTCCATTTGAAAAAGCTGGTGGTGTTGTAATGAACTAGCATCAAGTAGCAGGTCCTTCCTTCCTTCTGTTCATGGTCTTCATTATTCATCTTTAAAACCATATCTCAGCTGTATCCACATAATTTCTTCTCTTCTTCTTGTGCTCATTATCTTCCAGTGGAGCACAAGCCCTCAACCAACTCCTGCCAAGTTGTCCTATCCTTTGCTATCACATGTGGCTCACCCCGTGTCTTCCCCATCATTTTGTACTGACCAGTTTACTGTTCAGTTTTTACTTCCATATAGCAGGATAAGATTAACAAACAATGCCATATTTATCTTGAGAACTCTGGCAGAATGAATGACTGAAATAAATCGAGATCTGTGTGTGTGTTTTGTTGATTACACTAAAGCATCTTATAAGGTAAAATACTGAGAAATTATAAGAAGGCTGGAAACATTAAATATTGATGACAAAATGTGAGAATAATTACAACAAGAAGCAGCCATAAGAAATGACAACCAAGTGGGGACAACATAATAAACAAGGTCTGAGGCAATGATATGTACTATTATCCTTTGATTTAATTTGTACAGTGAAATAATGACGAGATCCATACAAGGTGAGCCAGTAAAATTCATTGGTGAGCGTGATGTAAAAGAACCTACAATATGCTGACAGTATAGTTTTCAACTTTGAGAATGAAATACAACTGCAAGAATGATGCATTCAGCTTTAAAAAACAAAAAACCAAAACAGAGGTTTACATTTAAAAAGAAAAAAAATATGAATTAATGGTAATTACAAAGAAATATAACCCCAGCTAATGCAACATCAAAGTAAATGGAACAAATCTGAAACAAGTTAATATTTTCATGTATCTGCGTAGTGATAACTGCAGCTGGAAGATGTATTAAATGGTGATTATGACAGAGAAATAAAAAATACGAACTTTTTAGAATAAACAGATATTTCTAAGTTATAAATCTATATTCTATTATTAATATATTAACTATAATAAAATATGAACTAAACAGGAACTATTTAAAGTAGGAACTAAAATAGGAACAATTCAGAGTGAACAAATACAAAGTTAAAAATTAGGTACTATTATATACTACTGTTTATTTCAAATATAATTTAATTAATGGTGGTCCCCGACAACCAGCAGTACATGCATATAAAGCAGTTACAAGGCTAGATGTAAAAAAAGGGGGGGGGGGGGGATTGGTGGCATTGACATTACAACACTGAAATACACAGCCACAATAACAACAGTTGTGCCACTCGTCCATAAGCAAAAACTCCTTTCTGCAACAGCGACAGGTAGGAAAAATAATCAAGTCCACCACACTTCCTTAATAAGCCAAATATACACAGAAGCTTCACTTGAATGTAAATTACCACTAACCAAAACATAGTGTAGGTAATAGCTAGACTGGGATATTTATTGCTAACCAAAACATAGTGTAGGTAATAGCTAGACTGGGATATTTATTGCTAATCAAAACATAGTGTAGGTAATAGCTAGACTGGGATATTTATTGCTAACCAAAACATAGTGTAGGTAATAGCTAGGCTGGGATATTTATTGCTAACCAAAACATAATGTAGGTAATAGCCAGACTGGGATATTTATTGCTAACCAAAACATAGTGTAGGTAATAGCCAGACTGGGATATTTATTGCTAACCAAAACATAGTGTATGAAATAGCTAGACTGGGATATTTATTGCTAACCAAAACATAGTGTAGGTAATAGCTAGACTGGGATATTTATTGCTAACCAAAACATAGTGTAGGTAATAGCTAGGCTGGGCTATTTATTGCTAACCAAAACATACTGTAGGTAATAGCTAGACTGGGATATTTATTGCTAACCAAAACATAGTGTATGTAATAGCTAGACTGGGATATTTATTGCTAACCAAAACATAATGTAGGTAATAGCCAGACTGGGATATTTATTGCTAACCAAAACATAGTGTAGGTAATAGCCAGACTGGGATATTTATTGCTAACCAAAACATAGTGTAGGTAATAGCTAGACTGGAATATTTATTGCTAACCAAAACATAGTGTAGGTAATAGCTAGGCTGGGATATTTATTGCTAACCAAAACATACTGTAGGTAATAGCTAGACTGGGATATTTATTGCTAACCAAAACATAGTGTAGGTAATAGCTAGGCTGGGATATTTATTGCTAACCAAAACATATTGTAGGTAATATCTAGACTGGGATATTTATTGCTAACCAAAACATAGTGTAGGTAATAGCCAGACTGGGATTTTTATTGCTAACCAAAACATAGTGTAGGTAATAGCTAGACTGGGATATTTATTGCTAACCAAAACATAGTGTATGAAATAGCTAGACTGGGATATTTATTGCTAACCAAAACATAGTGTAGGTAATAGCTAGACTGGGATATTTATTGCTAACCAAAACATAGTGTAGGTAATAGCTAGACTGGGATATTTATTGCTAACCAAAACATACTGTAGGTAATAGCTAGACTGGAATATTTATTGCTAACCAAAACATAGTGTAGGTAATAGCTAGGCTGGGATATTTATTGCTAACCAAAACATAGTGTATGAAATAGCTAGACTGGGATATTTATTGCTAACCAAAACATACTGTAGGTAATAGCTAGACTGGAATATTTATTGCTAACCAAAACATAGTGTATGTAATAGCTAGACTGGGATATTTATTGCTAACCAAAACATAGTGTAGGTAATAGCTAGACTGGGATATTTATTGCTAACCAAAACATAGTGTATGAAATAAAAACACTACACTTCATAGTTATTACTAAAGTTATTACTAATTAAAGCAGATGTAGTTAAATAACGTTTTCTATGAACAGTTACTCTCTGCACCCAAGGCCAAAAGTTTTGTAATTTTAAAGTAAGTGAGTTTTTGTCTAGAGGTATTCCATATGGCTGCTCCACCCCCCCCCCCCCCCCCCCCCCCCACTTTCCACCATTAAAAAAAGAATGTGGGCTTGTGAGCCAATCATGCTGTATGACAATTAATCCACAATTTCACAGAGTGCAAAACTGCCGGACTGTTTCACCATGAAGAACCCATATTGATATTATGTAAAATGGTAGCTGCATGTTTTGACTACAGGGAGATTTATTGTGGACAGAAAAACAGGGGCAAACAATCCTGACAAACTTCTGTCACAGCATGGGATGGTGTTATCGCAACTACTAATACATGATGTTGGAGATTACAAGGTGTAGAGAAGCATTATCACTGAAGCAGGTCAGCAAGGCACTTGATTCCATCTGCGATCAATATGGCAGTAGACTGCTTTGTGTAGGTTTTGAAGGTGGTAGCAAGATCTGACTGTTCCAAAAGCAGTGACAAACTACAGAGCATAAAACTGGCTAGTGAAATCACAAATAGCCAAAACTTAGATAGATACTAGAGTTGGTGCTGCAAGATCCTGTAAAGGATATGCAACTAACTTTTAGGACTTATTACATTAGGTTACAGAGCAGTAATGAAGGGAATTCAGAAAGCCTCAAACAATGCTCATTAACAAAATAGAGATAAGCAGAATGATTAAAGCACTACAGAGTATCTAAAAACAAACAGTTAGCTTGTTAATGAGACACCATGTAAGTGAAGCAGTGTTTGTTACTAGTTTTTCTTCCCTTAACCACTACTTTATCTGCAGCAGAAAGTAATCTGTTACAATTTAATTTTAATAAAGGGGAAAAAACAAAGTAAGTAAATGATTTTTTTAGCTGAGGAGGGAGAAAGAAAGTGTTTTTTTTTTACAAGAAAGGGCAAGGGAAAAAAGACATGTTGAGTTATTTCTCATGTTTTAACTGAGAGAGGAAAAACACAGATAAAGATCTTAAAAATATTTCATAAAATTTGCCACACCTTATATGTCTCATCTTTTCTCTTTCTCTGCCTTTTATCTCTTAATTTAATGGACTATAATACCTAATCATGACTGATTCCATTTACAGTTAGTTTAAACAGGATGAGGCACCCAGTCACATGCCAACCTTCCTTAGTTGGCTGTTATGATATGCATGGTAAGTTACAGTGTTACTGTTTGTTGCTTCCCTTACAGTCACTGTTAACACACGGGTGATCAAGATTTCAGCTAAAGGATATAAGTCCTCTAGTTAAGTTTAACTAGAGACTTTCATGAACAAATGTCTAAGAAGAATCCTGCAAATGTTTTGGCCAAACAATCATAAATGAGAAGGAAAACAAACTGCCCATCACTGATAAGTGATTGCAGAATACCTCGTAACACTGTGGCAAAGATAGCTCTCCCATGGATGCCAGGTAGAAAAATAAGACGTGTTTCACCTAATGAGAACTGGAGAAAGACAGGTAAAAAAAAAAAAGGGAAATGAAGGAATGTAACCAGACCGGATACCATGAGCAGTTAAGCAGCAGACTGGCAGCAATGGAAATCACACGTAAATGCCTAATGTATCAACAGAAAAGGATACAGGAAGACACAAGCCCAAGACGTTACTGTTGTTGAGAAAACTAAAAAACAGTTTTGTTGTGTGTACAGTTTTTGCATATAAGCATGTGTTAGAATTTTTAGATACTATCTGTTATCACAACCAGTATACAAATACAGGTGACTGCCTTATTGTGTGACTTTTCCAAAAGCAACTGTCTGTTAATCATCAGCATCATAATGTTATGTCAAACCTGTTATCCTGTGTGCAGTAGATCTTGGAACGTGACTCTACAAATAAGAGAATTCGGGGGGAAGATGAGGCAGCCAGGATGCGGTTTAGCAGAAATTTCCGGATGTTCGTCCACTCCTGGACATTGGTTTTGATCAGAACTTGAGTTTTCAATGTATATCCATTTCACAGATTTGGCTTATTTGTATACACACTGTTAGTTCCTTGTTTCTTAAGCAAAAGATGCACTTTGACTTCAAAGGAAACACCCCTAGTCACCTCCTAGGACATGCTTGTTAAGGGGTAGTGTGTCTATTTTTGGTTCTCCAAAATTGAGCCCTTGAAGCCAAAAGGGGACCTTGGCCAATTAGAAGTAACTAAGTAAGGTTGACCCAGCCTTAAATGCGTACTAGGTAAAGTCCTGGGACGTAAAGGCGGCCAGTACAATGTTAACCACATCATCCACAGTGTCCATTGGTCTATAAAATACAGGTCAAGCACTATATGCCGAGTATGCCTTCACATTTCTCGCAGATTTGCAGTGTCTATCACAGAATCAAGGCCGAAGGGTTGCGATATCCATAGTACTGAGAAAAAGGGTTAACAACTCATGGTTTCTCGATACTTTAAAAACAAATGTCTGAAGGCATAGAAAAGGGTCCTTTACTTTTACACAGGTTGTACATATGTCGTACTCTTTTCTTTCATATATTCTTTCTTGCCATACCCACATATCACAGACATATTTTATCCAACACTGTACTTTTCATGTAATGTTTTATTAACAGATCCCTACATCCCCCAATATCACCAAGTCTAAACACTGAACACTGATAGATAAAGAAAACAACTACAGACCCAAAACAAAATGACTAAGAGGTGACACATACATGCAGCACAGACAAACGATAGACTTCAAGACAAACCTGGGTTCGAGTCCAGTGTCTTTAATGCTGCAGCTTTCTTAACTTTGTTCGCTAGCTTAGGTGAGCTCCCTTTAAAAATGTTATTACAAAAACTTAAGCTTCATAATTCAGGAGAAATAATTAACTGTCTGAAAAAAATCTGCATTAAGCAAATGTATATAACTAAGAGTTTTTATGCGTGGTCACACTTCAAGCAATTAATTTAAATATCAAAGATGTGTACTCTTCTTTCATAACTCTTTCTTTACCACGAGCTGAGAATATTTGCCTGGTTACTCCATGTGACTGTGTACTCCATGTCCGTCATTTATTAATATTTTGTATCATTTGTTGACATAATATCTGAATACCGTCATCCAGTCATTTTAGAGTCAGTTCATTTTGTTTCATTTGTTTCTCGTCACTGTTTTGCTGATGAAGGCTAATGAGCGTAAACTGTTTTGTATTTCTTACTACAACAGGACCCGTAAAGCTGACAACTACTTTATGCTTTTCCAATCTTTTCTATACTGGGTGAGTGATAATACTTGACTAAACTCCCTCAGTCCCAGATAGTTATTCTACCAAGTTATTATTTTTAGCCTTTCTACCTTGCACAGTAAAACCCCATTACCACAAAATTGATTAAGATGAACACTCGATTAACATTAAAACAAATATGGTCCCAGCAGGGGATGACCAGCTTTATGATGGACACAGGACAATACCTGAAACCCTGGCCACACAAATGTATGAAGCAGAGGATGACCAGCTTTGTGACGGACACAGGACAATAATGAAACCCTGGCCACACAAATGTATGAGGCAGGGGATGACCAGCTTTGTGATGGACACAGGACAATACCTGAAACCCTGGCCACACAAATGTATGAGGCGGGGGATGACCAGCTTTGTGATGGACACAGGACAATACCTGAAACCCTGGCCACACAAATGTATGAGGCAGGGGATGACCTGCTTTATGATGGACACAGGACAATACCTGAAACCCTGGCCACACAAATGTATGAGGCAGGGGATGACCAGCTTTGTGATGGACACAGGACAATACCTGAAACCCTGGCCACACAAATGTATGAGGCAGGGGATGACCAGCTTTGTGATGGACACAGGACAATAATGAAACCCTGGCCACACAAATGTATGAGGCAGGGGATGACCAGCTTTGTGATGGACACAGGACAATACCTGAAACCCTGGCCACACAAATGTATGAGGCAGGGGATGACCAGCTTTGTGATGGACACAGGACAATACCTGAAACCCTGGCCACACAAATGTATGAGGCAGGGGATGACCAGCTTTGTGATGGACACAGGACAATACCTGAAACCCTGGCCAGACAAATGTATGAGGCAGGGGATGACCAGCTTTGTGATGGACACAGGACAATAATGAAACCCTGGCCACACAAATGTATGAGGCAGGGGATGACCAGCTTTGTGATGGACACAGGACAATACCTGAAACCCTGGCCACACAAATGTATGAGGCAGGGGATGACCAGCTTTGTGACGGACACAGGACAATAATGAAACCCTGGCCACACAAATGCATGAGGCAGGGGATGACCAGCTTTATGACGGACACAGGACAATACCTGAAACCCTGGCCACACAAATGTATGAGGCAGGGGGAATAACAAAGAATAAGCTTCCAGCAAACTGTGTAATAACAGTGATCTTATGCAAAGGACTTGATAAAAAGGCCTTTATAATTAAAAACACTGCCTTTTTTCCCTTCGAAGTAATGTCACTGTAAAGTACAATTACAGAAACCATTTACATTTTAAAATGGTACCAAATTGAAAAATTGCCCTCAAATGTTTGCACAAGCAAATATAATAAAAGTCAAGCAAAGCAAGGAAAAAGCACAAAGTAATGATAATGTGAAACGTTGTCATGGCACAAACATTGTCACCGACTTGTTAATCATATCTGTTATGTTCCGACAGTTTAAAATGGGATGACCAGCTTTGCTCTTCAATTTCTTTCTTTCCCCAAGAACCTCTAGCAAGCTTTTTATATTTGCTAGACCAGCAGTTCTTAATCTGTGGGTTGCGACCCCTTTGGTGGGTCATCAACCCTTTTACAAGGGTCGCCTAAGTTCAACAGACAACACAAATTCACTGAGGTTATGAAGTAGCAAAGAAAATAATTTTATCGTTGGGGGTCACCACAACAAGAGGAGCGGTATTAAAGGATCATGGCATTAGGAAGACTGAGAACCACCGTTTAAGACCCACTGTCATATACCACTTTATTCTGAGAAACTTTATTCCATATGAATCCTAACGTGCCCACACTGCACTGATTCTGTTAATAAATGGTGATATATATACGAGGGAAATTCAATAAATAAGTCACAAATGGTTATGGGATGGCTGGAAAACGTAGTTGATGGTTTCTAAAGGTGTCATTAGGTGACAGCAACATTGAACTTTATGTTTCCATACATTAGGTGGCACTAGGTGTTGCATGCACATTTGCAACACAGAAACAAAATGGTGACTGTACTTACAGAGTGTACCCTCAAAGAAAAATGTACTGTTGTGAATTATTTTGGAGTAAAATTGGCTGCCTGCAAAGGGCACTCATAACGAAATGCCGCCTGTTTATACTGACAAATGATTATCCAGTAAAGCTGTGCAGAGCTGAAACAAACATTCTTAAGGATGCTCTAACATTGTTGATGAAGCCTGATCTGATCGTCCTGTTGAGATTGCAACAGATGCATCCGTGTAATGGGTGGAGGAGATGGTTCAAGGCGACAGACGAGTAACGGTTGACTCTGTAGCAGAACAACATAACGCATGATCGATTGAAATTTAAGAAAGTGGGCTCAAAGTGGGTACCCAGACAACTGACGGAGGAACACAAAATGAACCCATTAGGCCTGTCCTTGCAACGTCTCTGTTGATATGCAGATGAAGGAGAACACATACTGAACAGGATAATTACTGGGGACGAATCATGAGTGCATCATTAAAGCCTGAATCAAAGTGTGCTTCAATTCAAAGGAAACATCCTTCTTCGCGTTGTGTCCAAAAATTCAAGATTACGCCATCAACAGAGAAGGTTATGCTGCCAGTGTTCTGGCATTGTCAAGTAGTGATTTTAACCAATTTAAAAAAAAAAAAAAGAGGTGACAATGTGAATGCTGATTCATACTGTAAAGTTCTGTTGATGCTTCATTTTGCAATTGGAAGAAAACGTCTTTGCCTGCTGACTAAAGGAGTACTGCTCCTTCACAACAATGCCAGACAGACCACATACGGCTCAGTTAACTCAGGAGAAAATTAACCATCTAGGGTGGGAACTTCTGGAACATCTGCCTGACAGCCCCAACTTAGCTCCTAGCTATTACTACCTTTTTGATTGACTGAAAACCTACCTTGGTGGGAGACATTTCGCAAAGGATGCATAAGCTGAATGTGAAGTGAAAATGTGGTTTAGAAAACAGAGCACACAGTTCTATGCAGCAGGTCTGAGAGGAATGATCAAACAATGGGACAAGGGCATCGATGGAAATTATGTTGAAAAATAAAGAACAGTGTATGTGTAAAAATAAACTGTTCTCAAGTTGTTATTGTCATTATTTTTTTTTTTAACAACCATTTGTGACTTACTTATTGAGTTCCTCTGGTACTAATTAAAAAAATGAAACCACATTAACAGGCCTGAAACATTATAACCTCATTTAAAGAAAAACGAATATTGAATCCAAAGTGAAAAAATTATACTGATAATTATGAGGGTTGAATCAGCCACTTTCACCCTGAGACACTGCAAACCCAGCACATCCGGCAGTTGGCCAATTAGGAACTGGACTTTTTCCAAAGGCTTTGTGTGGCGACAGGGTTAATGCTTATCTCTTTCAGTCCCGGGGGGGGGGAGGGGAGGGGGGGGGGGGGGTTTAGCATCAGACGCCCAAGGAGTGGTAAAGAGAAATGTGCATTCACTGGGCTTCTAGGTAGGAACTATGAACGTATGATACGTTCCTTAGGACTGAAAGAGTTTTTAAAACAAAACTCCAGTATATGACGCGGAACTCATATTTGTTTACAGACCAGTCAGTGCTCAATTAGTGATGTGGCCATCTTTACTTCTCACTGCATCTTTCCCAACAAGCCATTTCAGATGGGTCTGCCTGAAAGCCCAGGCCATTTATAAAAATCCACCCCAATGTGAATTTGAAACCAAGACAGTGGGCCCAACAGGCAAGCGCCTAGCCAACATGCAATCTGTAACCCATAGTACAATAAATTCATTAAAATACTGCTCTTACCTATGGAGCCCATGTCTCCTATCCTTATGATATGTGGCCAGTGCTGCAATGTTTTGGCAAAGAATGGATTTGTTACACCCAAGATCACAGGAGGCCTAGAGTTGAATTGAGAAAAATAATAATAATAATAATAATAATAATGAATAACACATACACAATCAGGTAGAGATAAACTGTGAAGGTGGTAAACTGGATGAAGAAATTAACATCAGATGCAGCAAAGCAAAAGAAGCATAGGAATAGCTAGCCCTCCTCTTCTAGCAAAAGACAAACCCAGCATAAGGCAACCCCCAGCATAAGGCAACCCCCAGCATAAGGCAACCCCCCAGCATAGGGCCACCCCCAGCATAAGACCACCCCCAGCATAAGGCAACCCCCAGCATAAGGCAACCCCCAGCATAAGGCAACCCCCAGCATAAGACAACCCCCAGCATAAGGCAACCCTGATCAGCGAAAAGAAACATCTCATTCAAAGCATACTCATTCCCACCCTATGCTACAAGTGTCAGACATGGTCATTCAGGGTAAACCAGAAGAAAATTAGTAGCCATGGAAATGAGAATGGCTGCAAGAGTGACCACAAGAGACAGAATCAGGATTGAGGTCATACGGGAAAAAGTCGACATAGAACCAATTTTATATCACATATAAAGACAGCAAATCAAATGGTTTGCCCACTTAGAGAGGCTACCTTGTGATGACTTACCATACATGTGAAAGAGGAGAAGGACGTAGAGCATATGGAAGACCAAGAACAAGATGGAATGATAACATTAGAGAAACTCTACAACAGCACTGTTGTCTGTGATCAAGGCGGCCAGAGGAGCAATAAGCAGAACATATCTCCCCCTGACACCTAAAGTGGTAACAGAGAAAGTGCCCCATTTGGAGATTCTCTGTTCGCTTCTCCTCAGGATATGCCCAGTATATAGCCATCGTCTTTGTTGTCTTATAAATGTTGATACCAGCAGTATCTACAAAACAGTCTCTTGTTTTATTTACATCTTTTTCTTCTGTGTCTGACATCTTCTTCTTCTTCTTCACTTCCTCTTTTACCGCTGTGGGTGTCGAGGGAGATATAAGGTTCTGTTTCTAAATCTTCTGGCTGCCTCGACCATAGGCACATCAAGCTGTTGTAGAGTTTCTCTGATGTTATCCTTCCATCTTGTTCTTGGTCTACCCCGTGCTCTACGTCCTTCTTCTCTTTCCATGTATCTGACATCAACCCTGCTAAACATTGAGTCTTGTCTTTGTTCCAAACAGGTTATAAGTAAAGGAATCTTTTCAGGCGTACTGAGCATATAGGGCTAGACGTATATTCTATAGACCAATCAACACTTGGAGGGTGATGTGGTCAGCATCAAGCCGGGCCACCTTTACTTCCCAGCACAGCACCTGGTACCCACTCAAGGCTGGGTCGACCAGGTTGGGACATGTAAACATGCTGCTGGTCTCCCTCAGCACGCCCCGGAATGTGGCCCCCTCTAGCTCGATCCCCAACCTCTGCCAGAAATATACAGGCTGATCCTTGGGCGAGGGTTGAAGGTAACCCCACAAGACATTCTTGTATAACTTCCTCCTCTGATTAAAGTCTGCCTGTAGGGACTGCCCCCAAAAAACTGCCAGTCTTTACCACTTTTGCAGTGTAACGTCTTTTAGTGCTTGATATATGGACAGTTTAGTGAAACGGTGAACAGGATCTGACATGCACAAAATTCGTCAATGGATGAACAATGAGTAAAAGTTTTCAAAATAGCTATATTTATCCCTTTAACGAAAAAATGCAATACGGCAAACAAAACTTACGGAGCTTGTGTACGTGTTGTGTACTCCTTGAACTCACTGTCATGTATTGTGAAATATGGTCGGAAATCACTACAGAATCTGAGTGGTGCAATCATACTGGGGAAAAAAAAAAAAAAACATAATGTGAAAACAATTAACAAATTACTATGAACTGAGTGTAAAATCTTTTTTTCATACATTCAGCTATATTATGCATTTACTGTGAGACCTATATTTTTAGAATATTTGATACTCAGTAGGTGACTTGGTCAGCATCACATTGGCCACCTTCACTTCCAATGACTTCATTTGGTATGCACTGGATTTTTAAAAAAATCTGGCTCAATGTGGCTTTAAACCCCTGACTTCCAGATTATGCGAGCGTTTAGCCACTAGACCAGGGTGGCTGCCCATGAATTGCGTGTGGGTTGGCCTGAACGCAAAATGTTCGGTTCTAATGCAGACAGGGTACAGTTTTGTGTGGACTATGTGAATCCACACCAAAAAGACAAGAACTTAACAATCCCGTCCAATCTTACAGTAATGGCTCAGGTGCTTCGCCTTCTTATGCAAGTGTAAAGTCTTGAAGGACCTGTGTGCATCAGAGTGCTACAGAGTTCACGCACTCTGCTAAGATTGTTCTGATGTGATCTATGGCAGGAGACTGAATACTTATGGAGATATCTATGTGCAAAGAAGGTACTGTCCCTTTCAATGTAGTCCGTTTGTGAGATCTTGCAAAGAAGGTACTGTCCCTTTCAATGTAGTCCATTTGTGAGATCTTGCAAAGAAGGTACTGTCCCTTTCAATCTAGTCGGTTTGTGAGATCTTGCAAAGAAGGCACTGTCCCTTTCAATCTAGTCGGTTTGTGAGATCTTGCAAAGAAGGTACTGTCCCTTTCAATCTAGTTGGTTTGTGAGATCTTGCAAAGAAGGTACCGTCCCTTTCAATCTAGTTGGTTTGTGAGATCTTGCAAAGATGATACTGTCCCTGTCAATGTAGTCCGTTTGTGAGATCTCTTCATCTTCTACGAACACTAAGTAAGCCCTGCCGGTTTGATGGACCAGTCACAGAGTTTTCAAACTTCCTAGAAGGTCATTGAACTCGACCAGCAGTCGGCAAATCGCGACTCACTAGCTAGTCGGCCACAAATTGGTTTTTACTCGGAAAAGCATGGTTCTTGATAAATTTTTGAAAAGAAATTTGGCTCTAAAAAATTTTCATGATCCTGCTGTTGATTTTTGGCTCTTTCGACTAAAGAGTTTGCCGACCACTGAACTAGACTATCACATTCAGACTGGTTTAACACAACTTCCACTCTAGGATGTCCAAAACTGACCCTGGTTAGATGGTGGCCAAAAAAATTAACATCCCTAAGCCTCGATACAGAGAGCAATGTCATTCAGATACAACGGTAACACATCCAGAGGTGAAGCATGCAGAAGATGGACTGCAGCAATATCATCATCATTATGTAGCAGGTCCTTTGCAGAACGTCGCTCTCATCACAGTCTGCCTGAAAGAAACTCGGTCTCTTGCCAGTTCTCCCGCCTCATGAACTTTCACACACTCAAGGAGTCACTTATATCCTGTGCCCATCTTCGTGTCGGTCGGCCCCTGCCCCTCTTTCCTGGTACATTGCCTTCTGCTACAATTTTTTCCAATCCCTCGTGGCGCTTGATATGTCCAAAATATTTCAGCTTTCGAGAAAGGATGCTGTTTATTAGCCAATCTTCCTTGATGTTCAGATCTTTTAAGACATTAATATTTCTTATCTTCTTTGTCCAAGATATTCTGAGAATCTTTATATAGCATTTCGGCTCAAAAGCCCTTTTTCTCTTTCTTAAGGGCTGAGAGATACTCCATGACTCACATACGTATGTAGCCACAAAGAAGATGCATGCTCTCAAAATTCTAATTTGTATTTCCTTGCTGGTGCTTAACCATAGACTTTTAAGGCTGTTCAATCTTTGCATTGCTATGGCCATCCTCCTTTTAATTTCTGTTGAACAGTCTCCATTGTTGTTTATTATAGAGCCTAGATATTCAAAGTTTGTGACATTTTCAATTTCTTCATCATTTATTGTTATTTTTGGGTGACAGCCAGTTTTATCTGTGGACTTTATTTTCGTTTTCTTTATATTCAAGAACAGATTTTGATCTTCACTGTGCTTTTCGACAGACAATATCATAGACACTGAAAAGTACTTGATACTAAGTGAACAGAAGGGCCCGCTCCAGAGATCTTTTCCTGCCCTGATGCAGCGAGGCCTTCCAGGAGTAGAGAAAAGAAGAAAAAGAAGAAGAAGCAGAAAAAAAAAGAAAAAGAAGCACTCTTTAACCAAAAACAAACCCCTTGAAGATTACTAAAAATGCCTGTCTTTAATTGCAAAGTAAAACACATTTACATTCCAACGAGGCATACTAGCAATTCATTGATAAATCTATATTTTCTATTCCTATTCTGCATTTGCCTTTACAAGGACAGCTGATACACTTGGTTGTAGTTGACAACTAGACTGTGAAATCAGAGTACCACAGAAAGCAGACAAATACTGTCACAAAATTCCGAAAAGCCACAAAAACAAGTGATGTAGAAACACCTTAACTGTTCTGGCATGGTTTTCTGTGAGGGAACATTGCAAAATCCTGCAGATGAAAACACATAACGAGCAATGATGAACACCACATGTCATGACTTACTTGACTAGAGCCTGCACTGTCTGACATGTGATGGTAGGTGAGGATGCCATTACAACTATTGGCTGCAAAAAAAAATATCATACAAGTATCACTGAGACTTCCATTTTAGTTTGTTAATTTTAGCAATTAAAAAAATGTCTTTAGGACCTAGTAAATACCCCCTCTCCCCCTCCCCTGTACATAATAATCCTTTTAAGTATCTGTGTATAAATGTTATATTATACAAAATATTTTATATCTATTTAAAATGCAAGACAAAACTATTATCATGCCCTTAAACAAGGCTTGTGGGACCCTATCAGGAAGTCTGTAAGGGTGCTGAGAGGGTCCCCACACACATTTTGTTTCATGTCCAGTCTCTGGACTGGATTCCATCCATGATATCAAAAGGACAGCACAAGATAGAACAGAACTGAGAAACAGGCTGAGAGCTCCAATGTGACATAGAAGGGCCCAAATAAAACGATGATAAATAACAATTATCCTCAACCAAAAATCAAAGTCAGATAAACACTTGTGAAATCTATATAACTGTTCACCAGCAAACAAAACACAACTTACCTCCCCTATCAACACCAGTTCCCATAACAGCTGCACGTGAGGTAAA